TCGGTAGCAAGGCCTCAGATCGGAGGCGTCCTGGGTATAACGATGAACTACATCCGGCAGCAAGGTCTTTGATAGGAAGAGATATTTGGTATGACGATAAACTAGTTTCGGTAGCAAGGCCTTTGATCGGAGGCGTCCTGGGTATAACGATGAACTACATCCGACAGCAAGGTCTTTGATAGGAAGAGATCTTTGGTATGACGATAAACTAGTTTCGGTAGCAAGGCCTCAGTTCCGAGGCGTCATGGGTATAACGATGAACTACATCCGGCAGCAAGGTCTTTGTTAGGAAGAGATCTTTGCTATGAAGATAAACTAGTTTCGGTAGCAAGGCCTCAGATCGGAGGCGTCCTGGGTATAACGATGAACTATATCCGGCATCCGGCAAAGGTTTTTGATAGGAAGAGATCTTTGGTATGACGATAAACTAGTTTCGGTAGCAAGGCCTCAGATCGGAGGCGTCCTGGGTATAACGATGAATTACATCCGGCAGCAAGGTCTTTGATAGGAAGAGATCTTTGGTATGACGATAAACTAGTTTCGGTAGCAAGGCCTTTGATCGGAGGCGTCCTGGGTATAACGATGTTCTACATCCGACAGCAAGGTCTTTGATAGGAAGAGATCTTTGGAATGACGATAAACTAGTTTCGGTAGCAAGGCCTCAGATCGGAGGCGTCCTGGGTATAACGATGAACTACATCCGGCAGCAACGTCTTTGATAGGAAGAGATCTTTGGTATGACGATAAACTAGTTTCGGTAGCAAGGCCTTTGATCGGAGGCGTCCTGGGTATAACGATGAACTACATCCGGCAGCAAGGTTTTGATAGGAAGAAGGTCATCGGAGGCGTCCTGATAACGATGAACTACATCCGGCAGCAAAGGTCTTTTGATAGGAAGAGATCTTTGGTATGACGATAAACTAGTTTCGGTAGCAAGGCCTCAGATCGGAGGCGTCCTGGGTATAACGATGAACTACATCCGGCAGCAAGGTCTTTGATAGGAAGGAATGACGATAGCAAGGCCTTTGGAATGACGATAAACTAGTTTCGGTAGCAAGGCCTTTGATCGGAGGCGTCTTTGTATGACGATAAAACGATGAACTTTGATCGGAGGCGTCCTGGGTATAACGATCCGGCATCCGGCAGCAAGGTCATTGATAGGAAGAGATCTTTGGTATGACGATAAACTAGTTTCGGTAGCAAGGCCTTTGATCGGAGGCGTCCTGGGTATAACGATGAACTACATCCGGCAGCAAGGTCATTGATAGGAAGAAGAGATCTTTTGGTGACGATAAACTAGTTTAAACTAGCCTTTTCGGAGGCGTCCTGGGTATAACGATGAAACATCCGACAGCAAGGTCTTTGATAGGAAGCGTCTTTGGTATGACGATAAACAATGAACTACAGGCGTCATGGCATAACGGCATCCGGCAAAGGTCTTTGATAGGAAGAGATCTTTGGTATGACGATAAACTAGTTTCGGTAGCAAGGCCTCAGATCGGAGGCGTCCTGGGTATAACGATGAACTACATCCGGCAGCAAGGTCTTTGATAGGAAGAGATCTTTTGGTATGACGATAAACTAGTTTCGGTAGCAAGGATCCGTCCTGGGTATAACGATGAACTATCCGACAGCGTCTTTGATAGGAAGAGATCTTTGGTATGACGATAAACTAGTTTCGGTAGCAAGGCCTCAGATCGGAGGCGTCCTGGGTATAACGATGAACTACATCCGGCAGCAAGGTCTTTGATAGGAAGAGATCTTTGGTATGACGATAAACTAGTTTCGGTAGCAAGGCCTTTGATCGGAGGCGTCCTGGGTATAACGATGAACTACATCCGGCAGCAAGGTCATTGGTAGGAAGAGATCTTTGGTATGACGATAAAACTAGTTTCGGTAGCAAGGCCTTTGATCGGAGGCGTCCTGGGTATAACGATGGACTACATCCGGCAGCAAGGTCTTTGATAGGAAGAGATCTTTGGTATGACGATAAACAACTAGTTTCGGTAGCAAGGCCTCAGATCGGAGGCGTCCTGGGTATAACGATGAACTACATCCGACAGCAAAAGTCTTTGATAGGAAGAGATCTTTGGTATGACGATAAACTAGTTTCGGTAGCAAGGGCCCTCAGATCGGAGGCGTCCTGGGTATAACGATGAACTACATCCGGCAGCAAAGGTCTTTGATAGGAAGAGGAAGAGATATTTGGTATGACGATAAACTAGTTCCGGTAGCAAGGGCCTTTGATCGGAGGCGTCCTGGGTATAACGATGAACTACATCCGACAGCAAGGTCTTTGATAGGAAGAGATCTTTGGTATGACGATAAACTAGTTTCGGTAGCAAGGCCTCAGTTCGGAGGCGTCATGGGTATAACGATGAACTACATCCGGCAGTCTTTGATAGGAAGGTCTTTGTTAGGAAGAGATCTTTGCTATGAAGATAAACTAGTTTAGGAAGAGGTAGCAAGGCCTCAGATCGGAGGCGTCCTGGGTATAACGATGAACTATATCCGGCAGCAAGGTTTTTGATAGGAAGAGATCTTTGGTATGACGATAAACTAGTTTCGGTAGCAAGGCCTCAGATCGGAGGCGTCCTGGGTATAACGATGAATTACATCCGGCAGCAAGGTCTTTTGATAGGAAGAGATCTTTGGTATGACGATAAACTAGTTTCGGTAGCAAGGCCTTTGATCGGAGGCGTCCTGGGTATAACGATGTTCTACATCCGACAGCAAGGTCTTTGATAGGAAGAGATCTTTGGAATGACGATAAACTAGTTTCGGTAGCAAGGCCTCAGATCGGAGGCGTCCTGGGTATAACGATGAACTACATCCGGCAGCAACGTCTTTGATAGGAAGAGATCTTTGGTATGACGATAAACTAGTTTCGGTAGCAAGGCCTTTGATCGGAGGCGTCCTGGGTATAACGATGAACTACATCCGGCAGCAAGGTCATTGATAGGAAGAGATCTTTTGTATGACGATAAACTAGTTTCGGTAGCAAGGCCTCAGATCGGAGGCGTCCTGGGTATAACGATGAACTACATCCGGCAGCAAGGTCTTTGATAGGAAGAGATCTTTGGAATGACGATAAACTAGTTTCGGTAGCAAGGCCTTTGATCGGAGGCGTCCTGGGTATAACGATGAACTACATCCGGCAGCAAGGTCATTGATAGGAAGAGATCTTTGGTATGACGATAAACTAGTTTTCGGTAGCAAGGCCTTTGATCGGAGGCGTCCTGGGTATAACGATGAACTACATCCGGCAGCAAAAGGTCTTTGATAGGAAGAGATCTTTGGTATGACGATAAACTAGTTTCGGTAGCAAGGCCTCAGATCGGAGGCGTCCTGGGTATAACGATGAACTACATCCGGCAGCAAGGTCTTTGATAGGATGAGATCTTTGGTATGACGATAAACTAGTTTCGGTAGCAAGGCCTCAGATCGGAGGCGTCCTGGGTATAACGATGAACTACATCCGGCAGCAAGGTCTTTGATAGGAAGAGATCTTTAGTATGACGATAAACTAGTTTCGGTAGCAAGGCCTTTGATCGGAGGCGTCCTGGGTATAACGATGAACTACATCCGGCAGCAAGGTCTTTGTTAGGAAGAGATCTTTGGTATGACGATAAACTAGTTTCGGTAGCAAGGTCTTTGATCGGAGCCGTCCTGTGTATAATGATAAATTACAACCGGCAGAAAAGCATATAATTGGAAGAGATCCAGGGCATGACGATAAACTACGTCCGGTAGCAAAGCGTCTGATCGGAAGAGAAAATGGGCATGACGATATGCTACATCAGGTACCAAGGTCGCTGATCGGAGACATCCTGGGTATAAAGATAAATTACAACCGGAAGCAAAGCTTCTGATCGGAAAAGTTCCTGGGCATGACGATAAACTACGTCCGTAGCAAGGCCTCTGATTGGAGACGTCCTGGGTATAACGATAAATAACATCTGGCAGAAAATTCTCTAATCGGGAGATTAAATGTTTTGGGGAGCCGGGAACAACTCTTTAATTGCAGTTATCCCCAGGTCGACAGTAACCCGTTGTGGTAGCACCTGTGGATTCGAGACAAATCATCATGAGATCATCAACTGCGCCAGTTCACCCTATGATCCCATATGTTGAAACCTAGGTAGGTATTACCTAGCTCATTAGGATTTAATATATATATATATATATATATATATATATATATATATATATATTGAACCATGAGAAAATAAAAAAATTAAAATATTTAGACACACTGTGTTGTAGATTAATATTCTTTCGTTTTTTTATTATCATTCCATTTAGATTCCTCGACTAGTTTGGACCGAAATGGCCATCATCGGGACGAGAAATATTTCTGCTTGCTGGTAGCAATAAACTACAGAAATGAATGTCTTTTGCTGGAGAAAATTAACTTTTGCCTGTAGTTTTCATTTGTTTTTTTATTTTTTTATCTTTTTATATATAATTATTTTTTTTTTAAATATTATAACATAAATACGTTATTAAATCACTACAAAAATAGCCGTTTTGTTTCAACACCTCCGGTGTCTTATCAATTGATGATGTTGAATGTAAAATAAATGGTTTTAAAAGTTTCAAATTAACTAACGATCCTTCGCAAGGGGAAAACGTTGTTACAAAAACAAGAATGTCCAATCAAAATACAAGTATAGGAAAATTCAAAAAGCTTGACAATGAAGTCATGTTATAATACCTATTCAGATCTAATAATAATATTAAAATATAATTTATTCTAACCAATAATTATTAAATTATATGGTAAAATTTGATATTAAAATTAAAAATTAAAAATTTTAAAATCCAAATATAATCACTTTAACTTTAAATTTATATAATTGTTGGTTATTTAAATTCATTCCGCATACACCAATTATATACTTGGGTATATATATATATATATATATATATATATATATATATATATATATATATATATATGAAATTAATATGTCCTTTTATCAGATATTTCTTATTACTGTATGCATATGCAGATAGATAGATAGATAGATAGATAGATAGATAGATAGATTTGTTTGCTTTTGATGTCTTGTGGAATGTTCCTTTAATCATTCTCTACCTAAAGGTCTTTCGGGGTTCGAATATTGATGCGAGAATCAGATTGTCCTTCAATTCGAACTGAGAAAAGTATGTCTGGTTTTTAATAAACAATTCGATAAAAATAATTATAATTGCCTTGTACACATCATTAGCCTCTTAAAATCGAGAGTACAGCATGATCTCTGCAGTTCACATTAATGGAGGAGATATGATGAAGTCATTTGCATCAAAATTCCCTCCTTCAATAACAGCAGTCGGAAACTGCCATTCATACAATGTATGGAAGCTTTGATGCGAAATAAATCCGAAAGATTAACAAGCCACATGACTTACTGGCCGTTTGAATAGAGCGGATGATCAGCTGTAGGACTAGCGATGCCTTCAGGCTCCCATTTTCGATTCTGAATTTCCAGTGACCTCAAATATCTTCTTCCTCTTAAATCTTCCTATTTTGCATTTGTTCATGCATCAGCGATGCGTCTGTCAGTGAATAAAATTCTCGAAATGATACCAGTCTCCAACGAGACGGACAAAAGCGGAAAGCGAAATACGTTGGCGGCTACAAGAGTAAGGAAATGGAAGAATAGAGGTTAAAACAGCATATCCAACCATCCCCATCAATCTATATATGCAAAAAGAAAAAAATATATGAATCTCTGTTACTTTTCAGCATATATATATATATATATATATATATATATATATATATATATATATATATATATATATATGTGTGTGTGTGTGTGTGTGTCTGTGTCTGTGTGTGTGTGTGTGTGTGTGAATGTGTGAAAATATATAGAAAATAGAAAAGAACTGGTTAGGTAAATAATCGAAAGTTCCTCAGTATTTTTTTATTATTTTTTAAAATTAGTGCTCGATACAAAAGTAGAGCATAAATATAATTATCTATCTAAAATAATCATATTTTTAAATAAATAATTATATATATATATATATATATATATATATATATATATATATATATATATATATAAGCGAATTAAATCGACTCCCCATGAAAAATTATTACCTGTAGAACAACATTTCCGCCTGGAAAAACATGATTTCAAAACCCATGCCAAATTCACTATAATTGAGAGAATAGAAAAGTTCAGAGCAGATAACATTAGAAAGATTTTAGAGTCCCATGAAAATAAGTGGATACAATGTCTAAAAACAAAATATCCAGCCGGGCTAAACCATAAATTTAACAATATATAGATAGTCAACAAATCAAAACCTACCCATATTTCTCACCCGCACAAGACGGACATGCATACGGAGGTATGGAGGCCTCACACATATACACACACCCACACGAATATACACACTTACACACATCATACTCACTCCCTCCCTAAGGAGCCAAATGATAACACACACACCTACAGCAATACACACGCTTACGCATATCATACTCACTCACTCCCTAAGAACCAAATAACACACACACAAACACTTAACAGAGACACGTCCCCTCTCCAGGTCCAATAAAACTGTCAAACTGATCAGAGAATTCAGAGAAGCATAGATCACCCAGCTCTTATCTCAAATAACAACTTAAAAGAGACTGTTTGACCAACACAAGGAATGTTAAAAGATTCATGTTAAAAAGATAAAAAATAAAAAACAAAACAAATGAAAACTACAGACAAAAGTTCATTTTCTCCATCAAGACATTCATTTCTGGAGTTCACTGCTACCAGCAAACAGAAATATTTCTTCTCCTGATGATGGCCATTTCGGTCGAAACTAGTCGAGGATCTAAATGGAATAATAATAAAAAAAACGAAAGAATATTAATCTACAACCCAGTGTGTCTAAAGATTTTAATTTTTATTTTCTTATTGTTCATATATATATATATATATATATATATATATATATATATATATATGTGTGTGTGTGTGTGTGTGTGTGTGTGTGTGTGTGTATATTCACAATTATACTGGTCAATATATATATATAGAGAGAGAGATAGATAGATATTTGTATGTATATATAAATGATATAGTTTTAAGGTGTGCTATATTTTTGGGATAAATGCTCAGTATCAGAGATAGAGTGTATGTAAATATATATATATATATATATATATATATATATATATATATATATATGTATATATATATATATATATATATATATATATATATATATATATATATATATATATGAAGAAATATAGTCTTAATGCGTGCCATGTATATATATATATATATTTGGTTGGATAGATGTGAGTTTGTGTCCCTGGGTTTCACGCTTTAGCCATCGTCAGACAAACTGATTAATGTTTTAAAAAATTGGGTTTATGTAGATTGCGTGTATTGGTGTTATTGTGGAAGTGGTGGGGGAAATTTCGTCGTTTTGTCATTCATCGTACTAACGCAAACATCGATGTATGCAGACACATATACA